TGATTTCGAAACTCGAAGCTCGAATGCGCGTTGAACGAAATGGTGGAGAAACGGCGCATCGGATATCCGTAACAATCGAGCAACAGTTCGCGCCGCGTTTCAGAGGCTTAGAGCCCTCCGACACGGTGACCGTCGGTGATCCAATAAACTAGAACTTAAACTTGGTTACGAGGCGAGCATTGCGTGCTCCGTCGATCTCCCTCGATCTCATCCCCATGGGTGAGAATGCATTCCTTTAATGGAATCGTCCAATAGAACTGAAACGCTTAATTACGCCCTCTTCTTGTTCCAGATATCGTTTCCAAGCGAATTCGAGTGGCGTATATAAAATGTCAAATTGCTTCCCTTATATTCCGTTTAATTTTATCGAGTGATAAAAATTGTCATTTTTTCCTTCCGTTGTTAAGTTAGTTTTCTTTTTAATCTTCATCTTTTGAAACCGCATTCTTCTTCTTTTTTTTTTAAATATTAGGCAAAGAAGATTCTTTTTATCGCTTTCTATTGTTTGATTTTTTTTTTTTTTTGAGATTTTTATTAATAGAGTATCCTATGTCGTTGTAAAATGGAACTGTAATATTCGCTTGAATTATTTTTTTATCGATATGGATTTCCATTTATATATAAGATAATTGAATTTGTAACAAAGATAAATAATCTTTTTTTTTTTTACGTATTACGATTTAGAAACGAGCACGCGAGAGAAAAACATTTACACATTTTGTAAATTATGTTTGAAATTTTTATATGCGCACGATTTATTTATTTGAGAGATTAAAATTTTAAAAAACGTGATGATTGATTTACTATTTTCTCTCTACACGAGAGAATTACAATCTTTCGACAATAGCACAGGTTTTCAGAGGAATCGGAATGTGTGTTTTTACACCGGATTACGTATCTCTTTGAAACAAATTCAACGATGCATGCTGATTACCGAGTGTTAACTGTCTGATTCACTCGACGATTGATCGATCGATTTCGTACGATCGATGCTTCCATCACGCAGAACGCATCCATTTCCATCTGATCGTCTAGATTGGATAGAATCCGCCTTTTTGAATTTGAACAACTATTTGTAAACTTTTTCGTTATAACATCGCGAAACAATTCATAAAATTATTCTTTATTTTTCATCTCGAAAATAGATAGCAACTTGCCGTTTCCATACATAAAAATTCCTTCCTTTTTTTTTTTTTTTTTTTTTTTTTTTTTTNNNNTTTTTTTTTTTTTTTTTTTTTTTTTTCAAAAATCTCTCTCTCCAAAATTGTTAACTGCAATCATTTCGAACATCCATTTCGTAATATCGTTAAAAGCTCAACTAAATTCAATACGAAATGGTAACACGTTGCATGCTTAATTTGCACAGCACTACTTCAACATACCAACGTTCGATCATCAAAGAATCGTTTAACAGTCGGGTCACGATTTTTCCCGGATAAACGAGTTTTCGCGATAGTTTCCATTCGGGGAGGACGCGCGTGCCTCGTGCGTTCGTCGTGGTGAACGTGTGACGGGCAAATATTTGCGCTCGCCTATTGTTTCGTTAATAACAAAGTCGAATCACTGCATCACGATGCTGGCTTAGAATACATAGTGTCGATTCCATCCAAAACTTTCCCCTTTATTCTAATAAAAGTTCTTCCATCGACTAATCAACTGTCGATATCCAATCGTTTCCAATCTCCTGCTACAAAATTTCTGCTAAATTTGTTTCACAATTCCAACGAAGAAATAATCTTAATAATCTTTCGTACTACCGATTATACACCAATTGTACGAAAATTGAATTCAGGAACAACCATATCTAATCGTATTATAAAAACACTTGAATCTAATAAGGAAAACAACGATCGATTCGTTCGATTCGTTTCGATCCATCCTCTTTTTTCCCCTCCTCCCTTTTTTATCCATTTTCCCTCTCTCTCTCTTTCTCTCGTTTCGATCTGAAATTCCAGACGAGAGGAATTCCCTTTGACCGCAACACGGTTGCTGGCAACAGCTATCTCGCGATACAAATTACGGCGCACTCGCGGTCGAACACTCGTACGTCCCTTCTTTTTTCACGTAGCTCCACGCAACTATGGTGCGTGCCCTCGCGAAAAACCATCCCCCCTCCTTTCTCCTCCTCGTTCGCCGATGTATAGGTTTGCTTAACGGCCCGTACAAGGTTTACGAGCGTTCCACCGAGGCTCGGTGGAAAAATTTCTTTCAAGACGCGCCCCTCCTTTCCTTCTTCTTCACCCCTTTCCTTCGCCACTCTTCGGGAAGCGAGGGCGCGGTGCAAAAATCTGCCATCGTTTTCGACTCTCCCCGTTAATTCATGACCGGAGTAAAGGGAATTGCACAGGGCGCGCAGGAGAAATGGAGCAGGAATTTCGCGTTCGAACGAGTCCCGGACGTGCGATTTATTCGGGGTGTGGGGCGCAGTGTGCAAACTGGGAGAGAGAACACGTAAGGCAACCGCTGCGAGCGTGTGTTTGCGGTATGTATGTGTGCGTGTGTTTGTACACACGGTGGTTGCTTTAGAAATACCTGGGTCAATTCTGGCAACGTGTCGCTATTATTTAATGAACGGTTACCCTTGCATTACCGGTTGCGTGTAAATATTTTCGCTCGGATATATCGAACGCGGAATGCCGCTCGATATAACGGGAAAAATTGTATATTTCGTTATATTTTTTATAGACAGTATGGAGTGTACGACACGATCGATACAGTCAGCGTAGTAATTATTATCACGAATTTTTTAACAAGACAACGAGAACTTCGATACGATATTTTCTTTTTTTTCTTTTTTAATAACGAAGAAAAGAAAAATTCGATCTCCAAAAAGCGTCGACGATCCTCGTTGTATAAACTAGAATTCAATACAGATAACCTCGAAACTATCTATGATGCACACGCATACACATACACATACACAAGGGAAGTTTGGTGTAGATCGTAGGGTGATCCTGTCTGAAACAGACAGACTGGTAGTTTGCGAAGCCGCTTTAAAGTTCTCATTAAGCGATCGAGGTCTGTGGGACACTTCTGTGTCTCATTGTTTGCTTTGTTTGGTGTTTACGCCACTGCGCAGGGACTATACAGGGGCGGCGGCGCTCGACGAGACGAGCAGGGATAACAGAGACGGAGGGATAAAAGCGGGTGTGACGAAGAATGTGAGAATGGAGCCGGAAAGAGACGAAGAGAGAGAGAGGAGAGACGAAGGGACAGACGAGGCTTTCATTAAGCTTGCATTGTCTCAGCACCGCACTATTATAGCCGAGTGAATAACTTGGAGCCATCCGGTAGTCGAAGCGAGGGAAAGGCCCCCTTTCGCTCCTTTTTTTCCTTCGCTTTTCCTTCCTCCTCCTTTGCCTCTTTCGCGTGTTTGGAAACCTCTTCTCGCCCACCTCCCACGCGACTCGTCTCCATTCCTCTTGCAACGCCGCTTCGACCCATCACCACCACGCCTCCTCCTCTTCCTTCCGAACCACCAATTTATTTCGCGACCTCGACACCCTCTCAGCCTCGCGTCGCCGCCCCTCTGAAATATTAACGAACAGGGCGATGTAACGCGCGACCAAACGCTCGGACGGCGCCACGGAAGCTTTGATTTCACGCGGGAAGGCGCCAACAACCCCTGCGCCCTCCCTCTACGAATTGAACCATCGTCATCCATCTGACCAAACGTCGAGAGAATAGGAGGAAAGAAAAGGAGAGGTGAACGGGCGAAATAGGAGAGGATCGGGTGGATTTTAACGAGCACGCGCGGATCGTAAAATCTTCGCTGTCCTAACGCTGTTCGTTAATTACTCGCGGCCCCGAAACGCTCGTTCGAACGCTTTCGATTCCGTCACACGTACACACGCGCGCTGATGCTATGCTCAGGGTATAAACACGCGTACAGAAGTGCGCGTATCCACGTCCCGATTCTGTCACCTAGATTCGAGGTCGGACGTTAATGACGCGGAAGGAACGCTGGTAGCGCGGCAGGAACGCGGCCCACAAAGAGGGTGGCTCGTTCGTCAGAGGCGCAGTTCCGTTTTGCCGATTAGTAGGCTTGATGTTCGTGGTGGGAGGGAGGGGGGTGGCGGCTCGTTTCCTCCTCGCCGCTCGTTTCGGTTATTACGGTGCGGCGCGATTTTTCCTCTCGCTCCGCTCGATATTTCCATTTTTATCTATCCGAGCTTTTTGTCGTCCTTTGTCGCTCTTTGTCGCTCTTTGTCGCCATCCCCCCCGATTTCAACGGTTGTATCAATGGAATCGGGGTATTGTTCACAGGGGGATAATTGGGAATTGAACGAAAGATTTCAGGTTACAGGTGTGCGTGAAAATTATTCGTGTAATTTTCCTTGTTTTTTTATAATATTCAATTCAATTCGTATATTCAATTCAATTTATAATTTTTGAAAAATTTCACATGTAAATGAAAGATAAATAGGATCGTTAATAGGATTCGAAAGGGAATGACGATAAAAATTCTTCCCTCGTGTCGCTTAACAAGAACAAGGTCTTTGTAACCGTGGTCCACCCCTTAATTGACTTTTCTTCCCTGTACCTCGATAAAAAGAGAATTTACTTTTATATAGAGGACACATTTCAAATCTTGTTCCTTAAGCCTAACGCCCCAAGCTACTCAACACGAAATTTCGCGATATCTTATTATTATGCAATTTGCGTTAACATACTAAGCTCTGGTCTTATCGAGAGTTCTAGCTTCACCGCGCCATTTAATAATAATGATAACGATCCCTGTCCACTATGTAAATACAGATATTTTACGCGAATGGAGATTTCAAATTTTTTTTCTGATTTTGAAACTTTGCCAATTTTTTGCAATCTGCAATCTCTTTTTTGATTGGAAGATTTTTGTGATTTTTTTTATTCAGAAATCGGTTGAGATATTATCGGAGAAAAGATTATTGCAGAGATTATTATCCTCTAATGATAGATACGCGATCGAGACACTCGACTATCGAGACTGACGGTGATAATTACCTTAATACCTGTTTCAGATACTCCATCGTTCGCGATAACGCGTTTGCCTGGTTTTGGAATCCCGATCGTCGAGGGGATGTCCGTCAGCTTGAAATGCGAGGTGGACAGCAATCCGGCCAGCACTCCCATTTGGCAGCGTGGTAAGTGACAATAGCGGACCAAGAGTTTCACGTTTCGTCTATCTGGAAAAAAAAAAAAAAAAAAAAAGGAAAAAATCGTCAAAAGAAATCAAAAAATTTTCAACGATATAGTCTCGCGGACCAAAACTTTGCTCCACGCGGAGAAAAGAAAAAAGAATGTAGATTAAAAATAAAAAGCAAATGGATTAATCAAGAAGAATATTTAAATTATCGTTCCTCGTCTAATGAAAATTTCACAATAGAAATATTTCTACCTAAAAATATCAACGTAGAAAACGCGTAAAGAGATTTTTCTTAAAAAGCGTGCAATACACGTTTCTTCTTTTTAATTTTAAAATTTCCATCGCTATCTCGGAACAAACAAAACCTCGAGCAGCAGAAAGCCGTCATATTTTCATCTTCTATATATTCCAAGGCAGGATTATCTCTCTCCTACCCCTATCTCTCCACCCCCCCTCCCTCCGAAGCATTTCCATTTGCTATTAACATCCAGGCTATTAGTCTCTTCGCAGTCATCAGCAAACAAAACGATAAATCGTATAATCACATTAGTCTATACCACGGCGACCAGAGGAGGACTATCACGAGGTTGGGGTCGAGAGTCGGGACGATAAATAATCCCACCCCTATTCCACGCGAGCGAAATCCCCTCATCGCGGATAAGTATGCAAGGCGGATATTATCTTTCGTGGAGCGCGAACGCAACACGTTTTCCTCCTTCTTTTATCCTCTCTCCTCTCTAATCCAGCGCGTTGCGAACGTTTCGTCAAAATGAAAAATTCTACGCTGCTTCTTCGAGTCGGGCTTCCCTTTCTTTCTCGCTCTTCAGCTGTTGCTTCTCCTCCTCCTCCTCCTCCTCTTCCTTTCATCTCTCTCTCTCTTCCTTCGTAGAAATCAATGAGACTCCATTGAGATTTCGCTTTCCAAGCGTTCCACCGACTTATTCCCGATAATTGGAAATCTCCTTGTACGAACGTCGAACGTCGTTCGCTCGTTCGAATTCGTTCGTCGCGTTTTTTTTCACTCCGACGTAATCGATAGCTCGATGGGTGAAGTGGTCGGCTCCCTTCCGCGGGAAACGAAGCTTCGAAAAAAAAAAAAAGAAAAAAGAAAGAAGAAAGAAGAAAAAAATAGGAGGGACGGAAAATAAAAAAAAACCATAGAATGGGAAAAATAAGGGAAAAGGGGGAAAGCTTTTTTCCAATGCGGCGATACCTTTGCTATTGCTTGTTATTTTTGTTTCGAGCGAGCATAGAATTATGAGCATGGAATAATTCGCGGAAAGAGGGGTCGGGATTGGATTTTCGAACAAGATCGAAAAAGGGGATTGGAGAATGGAAAAGTTCGTCTCTTCCCTTAAATTCCGATTTGTCTCGTGGAAAAAAAAAAAAAAAGGACGGGAAAGAAGAAGGAATTACTCCTGGCCGACTGGATTCATTAGCAACCTCTTGTTCTTTGTCAAAGCCAGCCGACGGTGGGCTGGCCCACGGACTCGATAAATATTTAAAGCCTCCGATAATTCCCCCTTTAGTCTACCTCCTCCAGGAGACACTCTGTCTCCCTTTTAACACCGCGGTCGCTCTTTGAGTTTCTTCGCCGATCCTTCAATTTCGATACCTGCACCCCCTGCACCGACGTAACAACATTTTAACCCGGGGAGGTAAAAGTAAAGCTTCTTGAACGATTTCGAATAAAACGGGGATAAAACGGGGGTTGGATCGAAGATGAAGCAGTTACTTTGTATGTAAGTAGATTGGCCGATGTATCGAGTTTTTCGCCGGATCTCGCGCGATTCTCCCGCGCCATGAAAATACATGTATTGTAATCTTAAAAGACTTTGTAATGGTAATACATATATTCATATGTAGGATGGTCGTAAATTATAATACAAAGAACGGGTCAAAATATATCTACAAGATATAAATATATATAAGATATTTGCGCGTTTAAATGTAATAGAAAACAACATGCAAAAAAAAAAAAAAAAAGAAAGAAAGGAAAAAGAAATATCTGAAATATAATATGCATCGAACAAGGCTAAATCCTTTATTTAAACTCCACTTTCTTTGCTCATAAATATATAAATACATCCGTAATTTTTCTCATTTCTACTGAATACTAAATACTTATTAAAAAAAAAAAAAAAAAATAGCTAATACGATCAAATGAAAATATTATTCAAACGTTAATTTTCGAAAAACCTCTCCTCTCAAACTTTGGCCAGAGTGATTCAAAATTAACAAGGTAACCATCGCGTAGTATTCCCATGTTCCCATGTATACAAAGCATGGCCCAAGAGTTAACCCAAATTCGGCGTTATGTATCCTCATGACGGTACGCCTGTTCCAGTCGAGTACGAAACGTATGTAGGTGCAGGCCAGTAGGTACGTGCAGCTTTACGTAACGGCCACCAACGGTGCGAGTCGTTACGCGTTCCACCATGGGAATTAACGTTTGTTTTAATGGACGTACTTTTCGCCCCGGCCTGCAACCTTGTTAAACACCACCCCTGACGGATTCCTTCCCTGCCGTTGTGATGCACGAGCTTAAGGCTTGACTACCAACACCGCTCGTGATAACGATTCGTATTGCATGATTTGCAAGTTGATTGCTCGATCCTGTGGCCAGAATAGGTGATAGGTGATCGTTTCCCTATCATCTGTGAATAATATTCATTTGATTCTTCTTTCTTTTCTTTTTTTTTGCGATCTAGTCGATAATTTTGCGCGAGAAGAAAAAGAAAGAATAAGAAGAGAAAGATGAACAGAGAGGATTGGAGGATTTAATGGATGGATGGATGATTCGAAGTACGAGTTGCAGGATTTTCGCGGGAATACGGTACTTTGGTGAATTTTAAAGATGGATTTCATCGTAAAATATCAACTTGAACCTTCTTTGCCGCAGTTTCTTTCCACCCTCGTGATGTTACATTCAGCACTAGTGTGCATTCGTTCTCGTTAAACTGATCCTTTAACGTAATTAGAATCCCTGTACAACTGGCGGTTAAATTAAATACGCTTCTTTGAAATTATCCGAAGAAAGAAGAAACTTTCCACCGCGTGAATACGAAATCTCGGCAAATTCAAAATTTTATCGCTCCGTGTTTCTTTCAATGCGCCATCCTTCTTTATTTTCTTTTTCCTGAAAGATACTTGACGACTATGCCGATCGAGAAACCTTCGAAAAATCGATCGATGACGATATTTGTTTTTTGTTACGAAATGAAAAATACCTCGATACGCTATTTCACTTCATAGACTTTCGTTTGCGTGTAACTGCCAGCAGGACTTTTTCCTCTGGTCCAGCCTGAACCTTTATCCAATTGGAAATCACGAAAAGGATTTACAGACCAAGTTGGAGGATCGGTAACGACTGTTGCTTTTTGCCATGGGATCGGTAGCGCAAATAAAAGTTCGCCATGGTATAATTTCCTTTATTCGTCGTCAATCAGAGAGAAACTTTGATCACGAAGGAAAAAGAGGAGGAAGAAGAAGAAGAAGAAGAAGAAGAAAACTGAAGCGAGGGAGGGACCACTTTCTTGATTAGAGTGGTCGTGGTTTAAGCCTGGTGAAACGGTTACATTCGATTTAAACGCGGACCAAGCTTTTTTTTTACAGAATTCGCAGCTCTTCTTCTAAAGTATGTATGTATCCTCCTGGAGTTCGACCAACGATCGAACGGATGTTTGATCTCGTCGCGATCTCCCCCGCGGAAATAATACGCGCGTAGAGGAAAAACATGTTCAAACGTTTTTTCGTGATTGTTGAAAACGATATACACGACGAGAAGTGTTTCGAGAGTTAGATCGTTCCGTTCGTTTCCATCCATGGTTTCTCTATGATAAATCTCGATTCGATATTTCGAATCAAATTTCGTCGTTGAATGGATGTGACGAACGCGTGTTGGAGTTTGCCAATCTCTTATGATTGTATTCGTTAAATCAATTCTGATATATAATAATACGTATATATGTGCGATGATTCTGAATCGTTAATGTAGATATAATCTCGTCCGATTCATAAATTTCGTGAAAATGTCGCGTTAAATGGAACACTGAATTATGGGTTATGGAAGACACGTAAAATGAAGAGGAAACGTATTCAGAAACGTAAATCGGATTTTTAAAATTCTAAAAACAGAATGGCAGAGAGTGCGAAATGACTTTATCAAAAAATTATTCGACCGTATTGAAAGAAGAACGATCGAATAAAATTCTTTCAATTCACAAATAGACTTAAACTTTTTGAGGATGATTTATTTGATTTAAATCGTTGCTTAATTAAAATTCAAAAGAAAAATTATATGACGGAAAAAAGTTTGTTCTACTTTTTGAAATAAATTCTCAAACAAAAACAGACAAACGTTCCAAAGATCTTCAAAATTCCTCAAACTCAAATCTACTCCTTTTTAAGCAAAAGAGCTCAATTTAAAACGATTATTTCTCGGTGCTGCTATATTTTTCAATACAAAAATCAAAAATGGCGGCATTGAAAATACCGAATAAATCGAATTAGATTAAAATCGTGTGAGAAAGTGAGAATGACGTTTCACCTTCATCTGAAGAATCCCGTTTTGCGGAAGAACGATGAAATTTATCAGGGGGCCTAGTTAATCGTACAAGCCTCGTTAGTTCCGTTATTGAGTTACACAAAATGCTGAGAGCAGCTGCACCCGTCACTTTCTGCCGTGATCAGCCAGACCAGCGGTGAGAGTGATAAGAAACATGATGAACGACCCGTTACTGGCGAACGGTTGACGCGAACACCATTATTGTATCCGAAACGGAAGAATTCGCGAAATCGTAATAAATTGCGCGCGAAAAGTATTCTCTTGCGTCGTTTTCATCGTATCGACGAGCGAGATTCTCTTTGTTTAATCACTGAATACGAATTATCTCGAATTACGTATCTCGACGAATATAACGGATAATATATTTTATTCCGATCGTTTTTAAAATGAATTCGTGAGAATAACGTTTATATTAATTGGCATTACCAACGACGAGGAAATAAATCGGAGAGAATTGTCTACAAGCAGATGGAAGTAACGATACGCCTTTCAATTTCGACATCGAGGCTATATAACGTCCCAGTTATATCCATCCCATTAAATTATTCAATTATTTCTGCCTTTCGTTTCTAACGTCCCGGAATTCCGGCCTGCTGTGTACGTCCGCGAGGAAGCGACGAGGGGGCGTAGAAGCAAAAGCTTAATCCCTATTCATAGACTCGATCGAGTGATTTCGAATAAATCCTTCCATCGTTCCGCGAAATCCGCTGCAATTAAAATACTTTAATATCCTTTGGAGCACGTACCCGCTTCGGGCGATGCCTCCGCCTTCCAAACCACCGCCACATCGTCGTCCTTTTCCTTCGCCCTTTGGCTCATCTTGCTTTTAGCCTCTCGGTTCAACTCGTCCCTCGATCGCCTCTCCCCCTCGCCGATCCCAATTTCTTTTCGGCACGGGGCGGCTCTCTTATTAAACGAGTCCCAATCCAGATGCCCCAAGGTATCGAGAAAGCACGTTTCGCTTTCCTTCAAACACCTCTTTATCACCGTTCAAACTCCGCCAAGATATTTTCACCATTCGTCTTCGTGCGATATATCATAGCGGCAACTGCACTTTTTCCTCCCTCCAGTAATATTACACCGGTACACCCATCGGTTCGACTACCTCCTCTTCGATAGTTCTTCTCGAGAATGGGGGCTTTCGTGTTTTTCACTTCTCCTTTTTTTTTTCTTTTTCTTTTTTAATCCCTTGTTTCTCTCGAGGGTTATAAATCTAACGGAGGTCGGGTGCCCGATAAGATAAAGATGCGCAATATAAAAAGTAGCAAAAGAGTAGCGATTTTAATATTATATCTATCAACTACATGTGTGCATTTTTTCGTGTAATATGTTGTTATTAAAATCGATCCATTTTCTTAAAACGATTCGTCTAATTTACACGCAACTCCATCCCTTAATCGCATCCCTTTCTCGGGGTTAAAGCCAATTTTCCGACCACTTACTATCCACTCCAATTTCTGTGTGCCCTCATCTTGAATTCAATTTATCGATAAATATCTATAATCCACATTATCCTGCCGCGAGTCGAGCCGTTCACGAAATTTCACCGGAACGATAGAATAGCCGACCCTGTTCGTGCTTGGAATAATCAGAGAATCGTGCCGTCACCAGTTCGACACTGTCGATGTTAAAAACTTATCGATCGGTTAAAAGGAAAAAGAGAAGGAGGCTGTTCCTTTAGGTTTGTGTATGTTCGACGGATACGATCGATATGTAATGATCGGTAGTAAAGTAGGCCGGTTAAGGGTGAGGACATTTTAAATGAAAAGGAGGATAAATTTATCACGGCCCCGTCGAACGATTTATCACGACGATACATTCTACAGCTACGGACGTTCCGGAAAACGTACGAGGGCGTCAGCTGCGGGAAACCGCTTCGGGGGAAGTAGATCCCCATCCGATCATTGTTCATACGAAGCTAGAATATAATGCGATGCCAACCAGAATCAAATATATATATATATGAGTTGTACATAACCTCATTTCGGTTTTTTCTTCCGACTCCATTGCGAACGATTCTTTTTGGATGAAGTGATACGACGATGTGATGAAAGAAAATATTAGAACGATGTTGTAAATATTCGATCATATTTAATCATATTAAATGAGATTGTTTTGGCCAAGAGTATAGGGAATGTGATGATATTTTGTTTGTAATTATTGTATTTGCATCGTGATTATTGCATGAATTTTTGCAAGTATTTAATATCTAAATACAATTAACAGATTTTCTAAAAATGAATTTTGCGATTTGAAACAAACGATAAGTCGTTTATTCTTTTTTTTTTTTTAACAAAGCAGTAGTTAGCTTTTAGCAAGGTATTTACGTTCTCCAAGTTTTTCGGCCGGCTAACTAACTGTGCTCGAAACACTAAAGCCGAGTAACACTTTTCTCTCTCTCTCTCTTTTTTTTTTTTTTAGGAATAATTGCGCCCGGGTAAAGGAACGAGTAAACCTCGCGTAAACTCGTCTCCGCAGCAACGTTTCCTTCTCGCCATTGCTCTTTTACGTTTTATTCAGAGACCGAGGGGAAAAAAATGCAATCTGCGTTTCGCTTCCTCTCCCGACTAATAGCCAGCCGTTCGAGCTTAGAGGAATATCTCCGTTCCATGAAACGTGCCAAGTAGAATTATTCACAGGTGTTCGTGAAAAATCTTATTCTCCCTTTATTTCAGTTAACCCCATTCCGTTCTTATTTCGCACTTCGCTTTATTCGAGCAAACCTTACGATCTTATTTTTTTCCCCTCCCATCTCGAAATATCTCCAAGAATCTTAAATCGTTCTCGGAATGCGAATCGAATAAATTCGAACCTTAACTCCGTTCCATCCTCGCTCGAGAGCATGCTTTACATCATCGATGTAATCCGCATAAAACTACTACTTCCAAGTAACTAACTCCCAACATCCCGGCAACCGTACCCCCGAAATTAGCAACCGATCGCTTTCCACGCGATGTTGCGCTAAATGCTCTCCACAACCCCTCGACACACCCCACATCCTGACCCTTCTCTCTCCACGGCTCAGTTTCAAGCACGGTCCGTTTGTTTCCGGGCCAAATAGCCGGAATCCCGCATAACCGTGGCTAGATATGTCGTGGTGCTCGGGCCAAGTCACGGGCCGCTCTTATTTCATACAGAATACCGCATCTTGCCATCCCTCCCCTATACGTATGTATATATATATATATATATCATCCCGTTAACACAATCGAACATGTTTTGGCAGCGGCACGAGTTCGCTGTGTTTAGCAAAGAGACGACAATCGGTGGACGATCCTATATACCATCACCATCACGATCGCAGTTCCAAACCTTTTCCCTCCTCCTCCTCCTCCTCCTCCTCCTCCCCTCTTCTTTAATACCGGGACGTATAAAAGTTTTCGGAACAAAACTTCATCGCGAAAATACACGCGGGAATGTTTTTTCTTTTTTTTTTTTCCTTGCGTGCTCCTCCAACTTCTCTCTCGCCTCCCTTTCTTTCTCCGTTAGTCAACTATCTCTCTTTCTCTCTCTCCTCTCATGCCATGTGCTCTTGTGCTTGGTTGCACGTTGTTACACATTCAGAGCGTAGTCCGTGAATCCGACAGCTGCGTCGAATCCTGCCTCTCGTCAAATCGCATCGAGGGTTAAAAAAAAAAAAGAAAAAAAAGAAAAACAAGGAGAAATGCCTATGGCAGGATCAAAGTTTTCGCCAACGACTTGGCGGCGAAATGGATATCGAACGGATTCGCCGTTTCTTCCCCGCCTCTTTCTTTCGGTTTCGGTGTTTCAACTTCGTTCGGCTTGGATAAAGTCGAGCTTCGACTTTTTCTTTCTTTCTTTCTTTCTTTCTTTCTATTTGTTTCTTGGTTGGATAGAGGTGCGGTGTGTCTGCGAGGGATGAGAAGGGATGAAGGGGGAGATAGGCAGGAGATCGCGTGCGCTAATTTGATTAACGAAAATACGATCGATAAGGGTTTTAAGTTCGGGCCGCACGAAAGGCTGGTTTAACGTCGAAAAGATTTATCACTGGTTTTAATTGAGATTATCGATGGCCGAGATTATTGGCCCGTTTAATTTATCGAAGTTTCGATGAATTTTCTCGTTACTCCACGATTTGTATTTTCTAACTTATGTTAAATTCAACGTTTTATACACGAAGGCGTAGTGCGAAAGTTGGTATGTTATAGTTAAAAATTCGTGCAACCGTTAATCCTGATCTAATTCAAGAGTAAATAAAACGGGATGCTATTAACTGAATAAAGATTTATGACACCCTCTCTCATTTATTGTATATCTTACTTTGAATTATTTATCTTCTACGACGTGCTAAACTAGTCTCGAGTTATAAAAATTTTACCAAAATAAAATTGTAATATTTAAATAAAAAAATCTTTTAACGTAAAATATTACTTCGAACGGTATATCGTTCATTTACGTCACTTTATTACAATTCACAGGTTTATTAATTTTCAATAACACTACCAACGTGAAACAAGGTTTCTCGTTATTATACTTATCATAGCTCGTATTTAATGCAATCAAAATTTCACAATATTCTCTATTTATCACGACTTGTATATCAACTACCAAATTTACCCAAAATTATCTTTTTTTACCCCAATTTAATTTTCGACAAATTTATCTTACATCCACATACTCTCCATCTCCATAAAAAAAAAATTACACAAAATTACCGAATATATATTCCACGATAACCAACAAGGTTTCTGCTTCACCACGACTCGTGTGCAAAATTTCATAAAAATTCTCTACTTACCACGATCTTTGAACCAAAATTACGCACAGTCATCTTTTCATCCCCTCAACTTAATCCTCAAAAAAATTTTTCCACGAATAAAACTTTTTCGCCCGGAATTGAATCGTAAAAGAAAAGTTCCCCTCGCGTTCCAAATAAAAAAAAAAAAAAAAAATTGCCACAAGATTACCGAATATATTCCAGGACTAAAAACGCGTAACGAGATTTCTCCGCTCGCCACCACGACTCGCATCGCAACGCAACAAAATTTCACCAAGTTGCCCATTTACCACGATCCGTGTACCAAGTATCAAAATTACACGAGCTTACCTACCCGCTGCGACTTAACCCTCGAAACGCAACGCACCCTCTCCCTCCGCGTCCCTCTTCTATCCCTGTTTCGAAACGTTGCCGCGTAATCCCCCGCGTACAGAGAGATTTTTCGAAGAACAATAACGGGGGCCAGTGTTGGCATCGCGCCAATCCTCGACCGCGTAATTCCAACGACGCCGGTTAATCGGTAACCGGCGCGATTCTGCGCGAGGGATGCGCGCGTAGACGCGCTATTTTCACCGAGTTAATCCATGCACCACGTACAGCAACCTCTTCGTTTGCGTTTCAGACAATGGACCGCCCGTCGAGCAGAGCGACGACGGATGGCTGAACTTCACAAAAATCAGCCGCGCCGAGAGCGGCTGGTACAAATGTTATACCAGGCACATGCTCGGCATATTCACCAGCATCGGTTATTTTCTCAATGTGCGCTGTGAGTATATATTTTCTTTTTTTTTCTTTTTTACACGATCGATTATGGATCCGTTATTTATGGTGATTTGGAAAACGGATTTAGAAATTCGTGCATTCGAGGATTTGGCAGGTTTCGGGGGAGATTTTTTTTTAAGTTTCTCTTGAATCGAGAATTTGATATTCCATGCTTTGTTAATAATTGGAGATTATTAAGAAAGATCTTGATCTTTTAATCGATCGAAATAAAGAATCAGAGATTTTTAATTTTCCTAGAGTTTGCCAGAATGATTAAGAGAATAAATTAGTATAGTGAATATATTATATGAAAAAGGGAGTGATATTGAAACTTTAGAAATTGATATCGGGATAAGGATAATTATTTTAGAAAATTCAGATTTCACTCGATTGAAAATTTAATTTATATTTCGATCTATTAAAATTTGAAATTAGAGAGAAAGGAAAAGAGGAAAAAGATTAATCAAATCAGAGAAAAGTATTGAAAAGTCTGTCCTTTTCTCGCTTATCAAAAATACCAAAATAAATCTTAATTAAAAAATTTTATACACATATGTATACTAAAAATTGCAAAATAAAAAATATTCGCAAAAATATTCAATTTTCAATTACAAATCAAAAAATAAAAAATCTCTTGATGAACTGGTTATCTTTTTTTTTAACTCGCAACGTGTTCCTGCAAATTAGATTACAAAAACACAAGCTTTTGGATTACCCATTCAATATTGAATAAAATCGCTAAAAGTCGCGTTAAATATACGCTAAAATCTATCGGTGTTCATGAACTGATGGACCGAACAAATGGATTTATTGAGCGGGTATGAAACGACCATCCCCATTTCATGTATAACAATGAAAATATTGAAAATAGAATAAGTAGAGCAGCTGTACGGGCCGATAAGGGATACAGTAATATTAGAAATTAATGGAAATCGTGGGCCACGTTGCACGGCTGTTCGAGTTATGAGATCGATTGAACCGAGAATTTCGTTTCATCGAATCCTCCAAGTGCGATATATTTGCGTCACGATCCAAGATTTATATTATTAAACGCGTATGGTAAAAACGAATTCGAAATTGCTTCAAAATTTCAAAGGATAAAATTCCACTTTTCCATTTCACACGTATCGTTTAGTTCTGGACGAGATAATTTATCACTTCACGATACGATCTTCTTTCGATGAAACCGAGATTCACGTTTCATCGGTCGTTTGTTGGTCTAGATCCGTACGTAGACGACGGAAAACGAATGTTTGAACCAAGTTAATAAAACTTGAAAAATAGGGATATTTGGTTTGTCAAAGGGAATATTTTTTTTTTTTTTTTTTTTTTTTTAGAAAAAGAGCGTTAAAAATCGATGAACGTTTTATAAAGGTAATCAATGTCTCCTGAAATACGATATAGACCAACAGATCGTCCAATAATATTCACTAATAATAGGAAACGAATGTTCGAAACAAAGTTAATAGAAAATATAGATATTTAGATTGTCAAAGGGAATATTTTTTCTAGAAAAGATACGCTGAAATTTGACGGATGTTCAAATTTTCATCAATACAAAACTGTTTTTTAAAATATGATATAGAGCAACGAAAGTGCAGTATTTTCAATATGGTGGACATCCATACATCTACATTCTTCTTCTTCTTTTTTTTTTTTTTTTTTTTTCGATATTCCAATATACTCGAACATATTGAATACAGATTTCGTATATTAAAATTTATTTCTCCATATTCAAAAAAACCGACGAACATAACATAAAACATGCAAAAAAAAATTTCAATCTTTCCAAAATATAAAAATAAATACGCTCTCGAAGAAAGGACCTAAAAAGATACTTAAAAATCCATAAAACAATAAACATCTCCACGTAAACGATACTTCATCCCGATCTAATCGTAAATCGCGAAACATTATCGAGAAAACAACGATCTCGTTCGAACGAAAAATCGCGGATCGAAAAGAATATTGTCGAGAGGGGCCGAGACATCAGACATCATCCCCGCTAATTCGAAATGCAAGAGGGGTTGGTGTTCCTCGCAGCCGATAACCGGAAACCACAGTCATTTGTCAAGTACGGAAACCGCCGAGCCAACCGGAAATTATCCGTGCCCTGTCGTGAAAATTTGCAAATTTCCTACCCAGCCCAGGACCCCATAGGTCCTTCCATCTTGCCATTATAACCAGTGGAACAGAGGAGTGGAGGGGAATGGAAAGGTGGCAGCCTCTCCTCCCCCCCCTCCCCTTTCGAACCTTCGAGAGTTTCCTCCTTTTCCTCCACCTCCTCTTCAACGCCGGCTTCCGTTCGCACCGGCGAACCGGGCGGGATCCTGGATACGGGTTTCCGAGCACCTAATCTCTACGCAGTTTAGATGGCTCGAGAGCACCTATAAACCAACCAACCGTCCCTCCCGCCCCCGTAAGGAATTATCGATTACAGAGGCACCGCGTCCTATTCGAATCTCCTGCCCGGATTACTTATCCACGGATAACGTCTACGAGGGTTTTAAACGGGCGCGCACCAATTTCGTGCAATCGTAGATAACGCGCGTTTCAAAGGGAAAGGAAGAGGGAAATGAATTTTTGGAATCGGTTCCAAGAGAAAGAAAAAAGAAACGCACTATGGATGGATGAAAGTTTCTTGCGAATTAGTAGATAATTGCGATAAGTGATCGATCACTTATTAATTGCGATATATTTAAAATATTCTTTTCTATGTAAAAATTCTCGAGGGGAAAATTATGAAGATAAAGCTAAAGATTAATGTTTGAATTCGAATTGTAATTTTGAGAAGTATAACTCGTCGCTTGGAACGTTGAAACTTTTCGAGGCAACGAGGTTCGATTGCAAGGTTCTTCAGACCTGTAGGAAAGTTCATATCGTTGTGGAAGTTGTATCCGCCACCGGAAACGTTGTACCGAAAAAGAGGAGGTCAATAGAAGGGAGGGCGAAATATCTGGACAAAGTTGGTTGGTTAGTTAGTAGTTTGGTTGACCGATCGGTTAACAATCAATCGTGAAACGGCTTTACGCCGAGTCAAATGCAATCGGATTTCGTACAATCAACATCCAAAGTACTTAGGAGCTCGTCAGATTAATGATCAATTAAGTCGAAACTTCGTAACTGGCCGATCGTTAAACGAAGACATTAAAAGATAGTTTGATTTCGGAAACTCGTTACAATCCTTTGATTCCTAGATTCCAATTCTCCAATAGACTCCAATTCCAATCTTTTACGATGTATATATATATATATATGTGTGTATGTGTGTGTGTAAAAATTCGAAAACGGAACAAACATCGATACAGAATCGATCAACATATGATATTTTTTTCAACGGAATGGACGACGAATTGGTTCAGAATTGGGCGAGATCATGACGCGTGGATTCTATCGATGTGGCGAAACGCGACGGAATTGCCCGTATCAAGGATCAAAAGATCACGCATCACTCGGAATTTCCGGTGATAGATCAAATTCATAGGTAACGAGAATTAAAAAAGAGAAGTTGCGATGCGCGTGCATTCACAGAACTAACGAAGAAAAAGTGAAAACTCTCTTCCCTTCCCCCCATTTTTTTTATCTCTTTACCCCTCTTCTCCCCTATTCCTGCCCCACTATCGTTCGTGTACCCGTTGTTTGTTATAGCGTCACGATTGTGTTTGCTGTAAAATTCCGAACAAACTACAAGACAAACGAGGTATAGCCAGCGCGGCGACCAGAGCTCGAGGGGAGGGTGTAAAAGCCTGCTATCGTCGCATCCACCACTTTGATCCCTTTGTTTTGTTATAGGATGAGCCGGAGGATCAGCTTGCTAACTCAAAGGACTGCTCTCTTTCTCTCCATCCCCTTCGACTATCCCCCGTTCCTTCTTTCCTCTCTCCACCTTTTCTATGCCTCTCACCTTCTCTCTATGTCTCTCTCCTTCTCCAACACCACCTATCGACACTCTAATTCTCCTCTCCCCTCCGTCGAGAGGAGATATCTCGGCCACGACGTCACCAACCCCTCCGCATCACCTTTCCCCTCGTAATTGTGGACATAACGTTAGCTCGAGAGCAAACGATACGTATAATTCCGCGGGCGGAATTGGAAAAGAATATCGGTCCATACCTCTGTGAAAAAAAAGATTTTTTCCCCCAACGGCTGACGGTTACGCCGCTTCCATCTTGAACTTTATCCCCGGTACGTGCGCGCAATCGCTGATGCGAGACCACCTCGTTGTTATCGACGACAACGACGATCGAAATCGTTTTAAGATATCCTTGAATACGAATGCGAGCCACGAATGTGTGTGTGTGTGTGTGTGTGAGATGTGGATTGGAAAGATTGAAATTTGTAATTGGTTTTGAATTACGGAGAGACAGTCGTCGAAGAGAAACCGATATTAAAATTAATTTCAATGGAAAATAATTTATAAGGTGGATTTAAATATTCGAAGAACGGATCGTGTTTCACGAATTATTTTCGAGATTTATCCTATGATAAATTTTGGTGTTTCTTTCTCCTGTATTTCTCCCGTCATCACTTTTACGATAGCCAACCGTTTCACCGTTTAAATCACCGTTTAGACGATCCAGACATGGAAACGGAAGCGGAAGCGTTGAACGGCGAGGCAACCGATTCCCGGAAGATGGAAGTTCAAATCGGGGGTGCGGTGACTCTGGAGTGCGACGGTGGTTGTTGGGGACACGGTCCTGGAATGGATCCAGTCGGTGGTCCCGGTCCACTGGCTTTGAGTCGAGTCGTTTACCAGGAAGCCGGCGAATATCGATGCGTCGCGCCCGACAGGAAAATGCAAGACACCTGGCGCGCCCAATTGCCGTATCACATCAAGGTCACCGGTAAGTATAGATTCTTCCACGAGCATGATTCTTCTTACTTTTCAATTTTAAAAATAAGACTTTCCTCCGATGATATTCTTACGTCTGTGGATTTTTACTTTATTATTTATTCAAATACGTATAAGATTAATCAATCTTTTATAACGTTTCAAATAGATTCTTAAGAATTAACTTTTCATTCGAAATGGAAGAAGTTTTTAATTGATAAGTGACGTTTAAATCTGAAACAATATATTCCTGTCCTCCGTATTATCGAATAAATTTCACTTTTCTCTCGCGAATAATTTATCATTTTTGTTGAATGAAATACGAATGTCACAAAAGATCGATTATGCTTCGAGTTGAATAAAATGAATTTCGAACGATCTTGAATGAAACGAAACCATCGATAATCGATAAGAAAATAAGAGGGGAGGGGAGATTAATTTACTGTGAGGCTAATTCAAAGCTTATCGTCATTAGTCATTATCACGAGGTTAACCCTCTTTCGTACCGTCTCAAAGGAATTATCCAATTTTCTTCAATAATTGCTCGCGTGCACCCCTCGACGACCACCTAATTGCAAGACTTACGAACGCACTTTAGATAAATTACGTTTGATTCCCGCCAGGCTACATTAAACTGTTACTTTCCGCTCGTCGACTGCTTTCACTCGAAATATCTTCCTTCGAAATAATCGTTTACATATTTTCCGAAATTTCCTCTCTTGGTGGAAAAACTTTTTTTCCTTTTTATTCCAACGTGTAAATAGCCATTAGACTAAAATTGTTCTAAATTGTCCATATTCGTTAAATTCTTTTTTTTTTTTTTTTTCTTTTTTCGTAGATACGCGTTACATATTTCTTGCATATTTTAGAGCATACACACGTAATACGAGTGGAAAAAACGAGAACGAAGAATTAAAATTTTCTGTCGCGGTTTCACTATCTTTTTTCTTTCTTCCTTTCTTTATTTCCATTTTTGTAACGTTATTATCGTCTTTCGTGATGCTGCCACCAGTTTTTTTTTTTTTTTTTTTTTTTTTNNTTTTTTTTTTTTTTTTTTTTTTTTTTTCATTTCTCTTCCCCAGACAATGTATCACGTGTAACGTCGGGGAAAACGTGCTCCTTTCTCCGGTGTACAATGTGTGGCGAGTTTGTTGTTCCGTGAAATGCGTTATCAGACGAATTTTCAGTCGGAGGATAGTTATAGCTTTTTTCTTTTTCGAGAAAATCTATCAACGCGGGCTCGTTAAATATCTCTCGTCCGTGGGTCAGATTGTCCACGAGAGAAAAATTAATCAAAGCGATGTGGAATGAGTTCGGAAATGGGCGAAAACGAAATTGAACGTGCAACGATGGATCGTTATTGTTGATGGTCGTCAAATGGAATTATCTTGTTTCTATCACTATCCTATCGTTCCTAATTTTAACCCGAAGTACTACGATAACTTGGTTAAATCTGATCACCTCGAAAATTTAAATTTCCTATATTAAAGAAGCGTTCAAAGAAACACTCGATGGTTTAAAGAAAAATGATTAAAGAGAACGATTTAAAAAAAATCCCAAAAAAATCACTTAGTCGAAAATTCTAAAAATCCAAAATGCAAAAATTAATTAGAATCGAACGAATTATTGAACAATTCGAGAAACATCCAACAATTTAAAAATCTTTTTTTTAAGGGAATTTTGAATAAATCCATAGATCAATGTTCTGACCGTTTTCACGTGAGTGCTCACATTTCCCTGATATCTTTCTTGAGGGTGGAAGGATATTCGACTTCTCGAAGGATCGACAAGCAAAAGGGGGAGGAATGGAAAAGTCGAGTCAAGGGTAACAGCAGGGTCTTCGTCGCCGTGGGACTTCTGTTTGATCTTCGAAACACGCGTGTCTTTGTGCGTAGAAACGTGCACGGAGGATGTGCACGTTACACGGGGAGGACCCGTTTCCCCTTGACGAGGGTGCGGAAAACAAGTTTATGACGCGGAATGGGAATTGGTGCGTCGTAAAGCCTGCTCCATACGCACCAGATCTTATCGAAATCATCCTGCCCTATTTTCAGAAACTAAATCTCTCCGTGATTATTCATTGGAAATTAAATGGTGATTTCAGCTTCGTCGTTCGACTAATTGCAGCAATAGAAAAAGTTAATTTATTTTAATTCTCGTTTCAATGAAATTTGTCGGAACCCTTCGCGCTCGAGAGGCCACGGCGAGTGATTTATGTATATTTCGTTAATCTCCAATTAACAAGAGCGCAGTATTGATTTGTGGACAAGTTAGATCTTCTATTTCTTTATTAGAAACTGTATAAATCATTTTTTATATTATCTGTAAGACACGTATGCGCAAAATCATCTCGAGTTGCTACTTTGATCGAAAAAGTCGTCGAGCGCGAACGGTTAATTTTTCAAGAATAATCGATTCATTCTAAATAAATAGTCCTCCTTGGACGACAAGAAGAAACCAATTTGCAATTAAAAATTAAAAGTAATCCGTAGCGAAATGTAAAAGCGAGAAAGAAAAGAAAGAAAAGTATTAATTCTTTTTCTTCGCTTCCCCTTACACACCTTTCCTTCGTTTAATTTATCCCCAAGCTTGAAACACGTAACTTTTACGATCATCATAAACAAGACACGTATATAAGATATATATATAAGCAATACCTATTCTCCCAACCCTATGAAAACGTCGATGCTGTAATAACGTGTACCAACGTAAACAGGCAAATTACGATTCAAGCGTCGTACGGTCGAAGAGCACGATAATCCAGCCTTAATAAGGGTGTTTCTCGCGACTTGTTGTCCGGATAGGTGGAAAGCCGCGAATGAAAACGAGTCGGGGATTATAAGAGAGGAGATATCCCGAGCGGATATCGGGCGAAAAGGCAGGAAACTTTGAGAGCGTTTAACTTCTCCGCCACTTTCTTCGAGCACTAGCCAAAGTAGTTCGAAACGGAAACCGATCGTTTGTCGTTCTCTGACAGATTATGGAGGGGTGAACGTCCATCCTGAGTAGAAAAGCGGCGTACGCTTGCCGAGATTTAGAACCTGATTCGAGGCTAAATCGCACGCTAATGGAATTGACTATTATAATAAGTTTGTGTGCCGAGGCTTTGAGCGGCGATCCCTCCCGAAGAGGATTGAAACCAGAGGCTTTTGGTAATGGATATTTTCCTCTGGTCAAATATTATCCATCGAATGTACATATGTATTAGCTAGCTGATGAGATACTTTAGAGGACGATGATTTTGATTTTGTTGAAGAAGAATTTCAGATGTTTCTTGTTCGAACCGTAATTTCGAATTGCGAGACGACACGGTTTCGTGTATCGAGAAGTTTTTTAATTTATTCGAAATAATTATTAATATACAAGCTACAAAATTTGAAATTTTAAGCTACGTTAAACTCCAAACAACGAATCCATAATTTTTCTTTTTTGTTTTATTTTATTTTTCAACATTTCGTTTAATTTAAATTTCGGAAGGAATTTAATACGATACTTCAAATTTAGCGTAATTTTGAAACGGTTCAATTTTAACATTCTACGCGCGTGTTCCTCATTAGCTTTTAAAATAGTCAAATTTTAATTTTAATATTCTCCATCTCAAAGCGAACCTCGCGCGCCATTCCTTTCCACGTCCACGTCGTTGCTTACATACCGATGATAAATTCTTCTATCGAAGCCGCAATCGTTGGCCTCTTCTCATTCTACGGCCTTGCGGAAGCCTTTGCTAGCTATCCAGCCCGAGGCAATCGCTGAAGCAATCTCGACTTTCTTATTGATTGCAGCTCAGGCAACTCGTGCGTGTAAGGGGCTCAGCCAGTCGAACGGGTATCCTCCTCGGATTTTAAAATCGTTTCCCTGGATTGAACAAGGGGACGCCACGAAAATCATTCCATCGTGAATTGTCTCGATTTCTCTGTTTCTTTTCCCCTCCACGCTTCTCTCCTTGTTACGGATCGAGAGAAATAGCTGAGCCAACTATTTTAATTCCTTCTATAAATTATCCATTTTTACCGCGCAAACGTCCATGATATCGGAAAATTCTATATCCTTCGAAATATATGGAATGAAAATAATATTATGGATTCGATTGTGGAAAATTTTAAATTCTTATTTTCACGAGTGTACAACAGTTATTCTCTGACAAGATTCCTCCAGCGATTCCATTCTTTTGTGTCAAAATCTTTAAAGTTTGTACGTCGTTCGCTAAACTTTATGAAAAATAGTTGAAAATTAATGATTAGTTGTCGAACTACAAGATATATTGCCACAATTTATAAAAAATATCCTTCCATTTTTCCATTCCTTTTTTTTTTTTTTTTTTTTTTTTTTTATATTCCATAAATTCACGCTACGAATATGCCTCGTATATGCTCGTGGATCCCAAGATTCACTTCTATAAATATCGAAGTCAATATTTCTCGTCGGTGTTCGACATATTTCTCGAGACTCGCGGTTCTTGACTTTTCTCGTTCGAGTTATTCGCCCGTGGAAAATCGCGTTTTCCTTTCTTTCGGTCAAAAAATGTAGCGAACGCGTTTTCCCAAATTCGTTATACAGCGGGATATTCCCCTCGAAAACTTTCACACGGATCGTTCAATCGAACATTTCACAGAGGAAACGCTTGAGAAAATATTCGAGGATGCGAAGAAAAAAAAAGTGAAACGAACGAGGAAAAGTTTCCTGTTGGACCGAATTGTGGCCGCAATAAAACTACATTATGCTCGTGGTTCTTACCACCAGTTCGCTCTCTTTCTCTGGAACTCTACGACACGTTCGCGATAATTTCCCCACGAAAATTGCAAACTGCTGCTAACACACATTTTCGCAATTTTATTGTGACTCTGGTCGTTTATCATTAGCCCCGGCCAAGGGTTTCGGGATTAAAATCTTTTTTAAAAAAAAAAAGAGGGAGAGGGGAGAAGGAAGGGGAAAGACGGCAAAGAATGAAAAGAATGAAACGGCAGGAAGAAGAGAGTAAGAATGGGATAGAGAATGGTAGTGGAGGATTATAAC